TTATCATTCCTCGTCTTGCGTGCATAGTCCGTATAATTTTTCGAAAAGTTTTTATGTGAAAAATGGATTAAAATATGAAATAAAGCCTTAAAACTCAACTGATTTGACTTTGATCAATATTTTGAGCAAACAGACCCGGATCAGTATTTTGGCTATTACGATAGGTCTGTATTGTGATTTGGGACTTGGGCGTATCCCCGAAATTTAATTTGGAGGTCCCTAGCTCAAGTTATGACCATTTAAAGGCTAAAGATTTCTAAGTTTGACCAAAGAGTTGACTTTTTGATATCGGGGCCGGATTCCAATTCTGAAAATTAGAATAGCTCCGTTATGTCATTTATGACTTGTGTGCCAAATTTGACGTCATTCCGGATTCATTTAACATGTTTTGGCACGACATTTGCAAATTGAAAAGTTTAAAACTCAAAGTTTGAATCGAGGTGTAAATTGTAATTTTAGCATTGTTTGATGTGATTTGAGGTCTCGACTAAGTTCATATGATATTTTAGAACTTGTTGGTATAATTGGTTGAGGTCCCGAAGGGCTCGGGTAGATTCCGGATGGTTAACAGATCAAAATTTGGACTTAAGGAAAAATCTGAAATATTGGCCTTCTGGTGTAATCGCACCTGTGGTCAATTTTCCGCGGAAGCGGAAACCGTACCTGTGGTCAATTTTCTGCAGAAGCGGAAATTCTGGACAGAACACATAAAATCGGGTTTTAGCCATTTTTACTCATTTTTTGAGATTTGTGTCTCGGATTTTGGCGATGCCAAAGTGATTTTTCACGACTTTGAATTGGGTAAGTGTTCTATAACTAAAAGTGATTATATTTCATAAATTCATGTCTATATTCATCAATTATTTTGGATTTAGATGGAAGAAAATAGAATTTTTGTAAAACTTTTCAAAAATAAAAATTTATGATTTGAATATCCATTTGACATCGGAATTGGATAATTTTTATATGGTTGGACTCGTATCGGAATGGGTGTTTAGATTTCGTAAGTGTTTTTGAGATTCGAGACATGGGCCCCACAATCAATTTTTAAAGTGAATTTCGGATTTTATCCGGAAAATTAGTAAATTCGTATGGAATTAATTCCTATGATTCGTATTGAGTATATCGAATTGTTTGTGAATAGATTTGAAGCTTTTGGAGACAAATGTAAAAGGAAAAGTTGTGGTCGAGTAATTTATTGAAATTGCAAAGCGAGGTAAGGGTCGTGGTTAATCTTGACTTGAGGGAATAGAACCCCTAAATTATTTGACTATGTGAATTTCATGTGCAACGATGTATAGGCAAGGTGACGAGTGCCTATACTTTATCAATTTAATTGGTTGCTTAGTTATTTAAACATCTTAAATTATTTTAAGACATGAATTAATTGTTATAATAATTGTTTCTCACCTATTCTTTGTCAAATATTAATTTTTGAATTCTTGCAATAATTGTTACATGTTTATTTTATTTATGTGTTTTAATTCCTACTTGACATTTAGCATATTAAATATTAAACTGCCTATGTTCTCCTTGATTTTCATAATAAATTGTTATTTGTCATTGTTTGTTTCATAATTAAATCATAATTATTGTATGCTTGTTGTCTCATAATTTCATATTAATTGTTGCATTTATTGGGGCAATTTATTTTATAAGAATTGGTAAATCAATATATTGGAGGAACGTGTTGCACGCCACAACAAAATTGATTGAAATGAACATATAAGAGGATCGGGTTGCATGCCACAACAGACTTATTATAAGTCCATATTGGAGGATCGGGTTACACGCTGCAACAGACTTATTAAAAGTCCATATTGGGGGATCGGGTTACACGCCGCAACAGACTTATTAACAGTTCATATTGGGGGATCGGGTTGCACGCCACAACAGACTTGTTTAAAAGTCCATATTGGGGGATCGGGTTGCTCGCCGCAACAGACTTATTAAAAAGTCCATATTGGGGGATCGGATTGCACGCCGCAAACAGACTTATTTAAAAGTCTATATTGGGGGATCGGATTGCACGGCGCAACAGACTTATTAAAAAGTCCATATTGGGGGATCGGATTGCACGCCGCAAACAGACTTATTTAAAAGTCTATATTGGGGGATCGGATTGCACGGCGCAACAGACTTATTAAAAAGTCCATATTGGGGTATCGGATTGCACGCCGCAACAGACTTATTTAAAAGACTAGATATATACTTGATTAAAATAAAAATATTGGGGGGTTGAAAATGAATATATTGTGGGAACGGGTTGCACGCTGCAACGGAAATTGGTTGAAATAATAATTGGTTATGACTGCCGAATTGGCTTTCAATATTAAAAATGAGTTACATAATTTATTTCTATTATTGTTATTATTACTATTACTGCGTACATGTTATTATAAGTGACCTGTCTTAGCCTCGTCACTACTTCGTCGAGGTTAGGCTCAGCACTTACCAGTACATGGGATCGGTTGTACTGATACTACATTCTGTACTTCTTGTGCAGATTTCGGAGTTGGTCCCAGCGGCGTACCATAGACTTGCTCGGATTTCAGCTATCCATAGGAGACTTGAGGTATAACTGCACGGCGTCTGCAGTTCTGAAGTCCCCATCTACTTTACTTTAGTTGTGTGTTTGTTTTGAGACAACTTTATTATATTCAGACCTTTATTTGTATTATTTTAGAAGCTCGTGCACTTGTGACACCAATTCTGGGATGGTATTTAGATACCGTTATTTTTATGTATTATTCACTACATTTCGAACTTTTCTTCCGCATTTAGTTCTTTGTTATTAATAAATTTAGAAATTGTTTTAAAATGGATAATATTATTATAACATTGGCTTGCCTAGCAAGTGAAATGTTAGGCGCCATCACGGTCCGAAGGTGGGAATTTCGGATAGTGACACTTTCCCACTAGTCTGAGGATGGTAAGCGGTTGCAACCTTATGTTTGACCCCATATGGTTCTAAGACATTGTCCAAGAGCTTGTTACAGAAATGGGTGTCCCTATCACTAATCATCACTCTCAGAGTGTCGAACCTTGTAAAGATATGCTTTTTCACAAAGTTGACCACAACCTTGGCATCATTGGTAGGAAGAGAAACGGCCTCCACCCACTTCGACACATAGTCAACGGCCACCAAAATGTGCCTACACCCACTGGACAAGGGAAACGGACCCATAAAATCAATTACCCACACATCAAAAATTTCAACCTCCATAATACCGTGCAATGGCATCTCATGCCTTTTCGTGATTGTTCCTGTTCTCTAGCACCTATCACACCTCCTCACGAACTCATGGGCGTCTTTAAACACCCTAGGCCAATCAAAACCCGATTGCAACACCTTAGCTGCCATTTTGTCACCCGCATAATGACCACCATAAGGCGACGCATGATAATCATGTAAAATAGCATTTATTTCAGATTCGGGCACACATCTTCTCATTAACTGATCGGTACAAGATTTGAACAGAAATGGCTCATCCCACACATATGACCTCACATCCCGCAAGAACTTCTTTTTAGCATAAGGTTCAAGATCAGGCGGCATCTCTCCACTTGCCATATAGTTCAAAACATCTGCATACCAAGGCACCTCCCCAATAGTAATGGCCAACAATTGCTCATCCAGGAATGTTTCCTTGATGACATCTCCCTCAGCTATATGATTCCGAGTTTCTAACCTGGATAAGTGATCAGCCACTTGATTCTCTGTTCCTTTACGGTATTGGATCTCTAAATCAAATTCCTACAAGAATAAAACCCAACGGATTTGCCTTGGTTTAGCATCTTTTTTTTCGAACAAATACCTGATGGTTGCATGGTATGTGTAGACGATGACTTTGGTTCCAACCAAATAGGTCCGAAATTTATCGAACGCCCACACTACAGCAAACAAATCCTTTCTATCACAGTATAATTTATTTGAGCAGGAGTAACAGTCTTGCTTGCGTAGTAAATGGAGTGAAAACTTTTGCTCCTCCTCTGTCCCAATACGGCCCCAATTGCACCATCACTAGCATCACACATCAGCTCAAATGGCTCTTTCCAGTCAGGAGCCACTATGATTGGTGCACTCACTAACTTCTTTTTCAGCTCCTCGAATGCTTTCAGACATGCATCGTCAAACTTGAACGGCACATCCTTCTCTAATAACTTCCCCAAAAAAGAAGAAATTCTTGAGAATCCTTTATAAATCGGCGATAAAAACCTGCATGTCCTTGAAAACGCCTAACTCATTTCAGTGAAATCGGTGGTGAATTTTTTTTTAAATTGCTTCCACCTTAGCTTTGTCAACTTCTAGTCCATCTTTGGACACCTTATGCCCCAACACTATACCTTTACATACCATAAAATGGAACTTTTTTCAATTCAGTAACAGATTAGTCTCCTCACACCTGGCAAGCACTTTAGCAAGATTTGTCAAGCATTCATCAAAAGAAGGACCAAACACAGAAAAATTATCCATAAAAACCTCCACAAGCCGTTCCACCATATCAGTTAAAATAGCCATCATACCTTTGAAAAGTCGCAGGTGCATTACACAACCCGAATGGCATTTTCTTAAATGCATAAGTGCCATAAGGGCATGTAAAAGTGGTCTTTTCTTGATTTTCCAGGGCAATAGCAATCTGATTATACCCCGAATAGCCATCAAGGAAATAATAGTATTCCTATCTGGCTAACTTGTCAAGCATTTGATCAATGAAGGGGAGGGGGAAGTGATCTTTTCGTGTAGCATTATTCAACTTCCTATAATCTATCCATATTCTCCAACCAGTCACAGTCCTAGTTGGAATTAATTCATTTTGTTCATTCACTACAACAGTCATACCCCCCTTTTTAGGTACACATTGAACAGGGCTTACCCACTTGCTATAGGAGATGGAAAATACTATACCTATGTCGAGCCACTTAATCACTTCTTTTCTTACCACCTATTTCATGATTGGATTTAGGCGGCGTTGATGTTCCACGCTAGGTTTGTGTCCCTACTCCATGCGTATTTTGTGCATATAGAATGCAGGCCTAATACCCTTTATGTCAGACATTGTCCAACCAATGGCATGCTTGTGCTCCCTCAGCACCCTTAAGAGCTTTTCTTCCTGCAATTTAGACAAATGAGAAGAAACAATCACAGGTAAAGTGTTAGAACTACCCAAATAAGCATAATGAATATGAGATAGTAAGGGTTAAAGTTCCAGTTTTGGAGCCTCCTCAACTGAGGGTCTAGGGGGCAGGTCGATTGGCCTATCCAGAGGCTCAAACTGAGATCTTTCTCTTATGTATTCACAAGATGCATCCAAAATTTGCAACATCTCCTCAACCTCTTCTTCCAGTTCCAAGTGATTGAACAATATCAATGCCTTTTCTAGTGCATCTTCTTTAAATGTAATTGGCTCAACGGCTAGTTCATTTATCTTCACCACAGAAATCATGGCCAGGTCCTCGTAATGACGAGGCAACTGAATGGCTCGATATACATTGAAGACCGCTTCTTCATTGTCCACCCCAAGGGTCATCTTACCTTCTCGGACTTTAATAATGGCATCTCCAGTGGCCAAAAGAGATCGTCCCAAGATGATAGGAACTAACTCATCAGCCTCGTAGTCCAGGATGATAAAATCTGCAGGGAAAATAAAATTCCCAATCTATAGCAAGAAGTCCTCAATTACCCCCTCAGGATAGACATAAGATCTGTCAGCTAACTGTAGCAGTACCGTGGTGGGTCTCGGAGCTCCTAATCCCAATTGTTTCAACACTGACAACGGCATCAGATTGATACTTGAGCCCAAATCACACAAGGCTCTACCCACATCAATTTCACGAATCCTCATGGGGATAGTAAAACTACCCGGATCCTTAATCTTTTCTGGAAGCTTATGTTGAATCCTGGAAGTGCACTCCTCAGTAAGTGCGCCGGTCTCAAATTCAGTTAACCTTCTCTTATTTGCCACTATATCCTTAATATATTTTTCATATTTTGGGACCTCACGGAGCATGTCCAACAAAGGGATGTTCAAGTGTATCTGCTTCAGCATATCTAAAAATTTGTGAAACATGTGGTCATCATTCTTCTTTCTCATTCTTTGAGGAAAAGGAGGTAGCACCCTCTCTGATATTTGCTCAGACTCTGTTTTGTTTCTCTCATCTACCTCTACAGGTTTTGGCACTCTTTCTTCTTCGAGCCCAGACTGCTCCTTTTTCTTCTTAGGCACTTCTACTAACACTCTCCCATTTCTCGACATCACTGCATTGACTTGAGGATTTTTCTCTGTATCACTTGGGAGAGCTCCATCAGGTCTAATATTCTGATTGTTAGCCATTTGCCCAACCTTCCTCTCTAAATTTCTGAACTCTGTGCACAATTGTTGATTCTCAGCCATAACTTTTTTGATTGTCTAGCAAGAGCTTTTTCATCATATCAGTCAAACTCTCTTCTGGTTGCTGTGGAGATTAAGGTGGATGATTATAATTCGTTTGAGGCCTGATGTTCTAATTTCCACCCCAAGAGAAGTTAGGATGATTCCTCCAGTTCGGATTGTATGTGTTACCATATTGAGCATTTTGAGTCATTGGCCCTCTAGCTTGTTGCCCCACGTACTAAATGGATTCAGGATTCACGAGGCATATGTCACTTGTGTGACCTTCACCACATAACTCGTAGCAAGTAGACATCTGTTGCACATGCTGCATCTGTTGTGCTTGGTGCATTGTCATATTATTCATCTGATTTGCTAATCTTGCTATATATGCCCGCATGGCTTAGAAATCATCAAGCTCGATCACACCTGCTGTCTTTTGTTTAATTGCTCATCGTGGTTCCCTATATACTTTCCAATTATTATCATTAGCAGTGAAATAGTTTAGTAGGATCTGGATCTCACTATACGGTCTTGCCATGCAACTACCCTCACATGCTGAGTCTAGATTCATCTTTGATGCCTCGTCCAACCCATCAACGAAAGAGTGACCTATCACCTCATCAGTCTGACAATGATGTGGGCAGTCTCTGAGTAGCTTTTTGTATCTTTCCCAAGCTTGACGAAGAGTCTCGCCATCTCGTTGTTGAAACCCAAGAATCTAACTCCTCAACGACTTTGTCTTCTTAGTGGGAAAATCTTGATTAAGAATTTCCTTACTAGATCATCCCAATTTGTGGTTTGAGTTCGCGGGGTCCTTTTGCAACCATTCCTTAGAGTCCTCTAGCAGTGAAAAGGGAAACAGTGTCAGCCTGACATAGTCCTTGGAAACGTTCGGATAATTGCAAGTGTATGTAATTTCCAGGAAGTTCTGAATGTGCCTCTGCGGGTCTTCATGAGATAGATCCACATATTGCCCTGTGGATTGAATCAGTAGTTGTACCATGTACTGTTTGAGTTCAAAGTGACCCATGATCTCAGCTTCACAATTTCCTGAGTCATATTAGCAAGATTGGGCCTTGCAGCTTCTATCACCGGACGCCCTTCATTACCTGCCATCTCTATTGGCTGTGGTTGAACTACGATGTCCAACTCTCTTTCAATTATAGTTCTAGCTTCAAATTCCCTCCTCACTCAATGAAGTGTTCGTTCGATCTCAGGATCAAGAGGAAGGATATTGTTTGTGCTTCCACTCCTCCGCACTCAAGAGAAGATCATGCGTTATCATAAATTAAGCAAACTAAAGATTAAAAATTGAACAAATAACGAATAAAATCTTAACTTAGATAAACAATCAATAACTAAGTCCCCGGCAACGGCGCCAAAAACTTATTGGTTCCCCAAGTACACGCAAGTATGCGTGGCCGTTAAGTAATAAAGTGACTTGAAAGTCGGATGTCGAACCCACAGAGACTTATACCAATTGTCAACTAAGCAAAAAAATCAATTAATTGTCCAAGATATTTAAGAGTGATGTTTTTCTATTAAGCTACTATTGCGAAAATTAAACAAGTAACAACTAATTTATCAAGAATGCAAATGTGTATGATGAGATTTTAATTTAGAGGTGGTGAAAATTCCAGGGTTGTGGTTGGTTTATCAATCCTATTAAGTTCAATAATCACATTCGTTAATACAGATTATCTATGGTTGCTAATTAACCGGATCGTTTATATGAATAGCATGTTCCCACAATACTACTCGTCTACCCACACTATATCAATCATATATTCCTATGGTATTAAGTATATCATGAACGAATATAATATGGTATTCAATTAAGCAAGACTGTTAGGTATATTCCTATCCTAACCGCGAAATCGTCCCCCGAGCCACGGGTTCAAAAACAAGCTCTCTCTAATTCTACTCTAATCTAAACATGACTTTCCTAAACATAGCATAGATAGTAGGGTGAATTGGTAGCTACAACAATTCACAAGTTAAAACTAGAATTAAAGAAACAACCACAAGATGATAATCCGAATTAACGAAGATGTAATTAATAAACGTTAATAATCATGTCAACCACAACCCTAGAACTAGAGTGCTTAGCCACTCATGTTCGTAGTGATAATTTTTTAAGTATTTTGCATAAACAAATTACAAACAAAAGATAAAGGAATGAAGAACTCGATAATTTTCTCCTCCAAAAGTTGTTCCATGTGACATTCTTGCCTCCAGTCGCAAAAACTCCTCTAAAAATGGTGTTTAATGACTATTTTTATGTGTAAGGAAAAGGCCTAGACGAAATAACCAAGTCCAAAACCAAAAAGGATACAAAATAGGCTTTAAAACCCGGAACACCCTCGCTACAGGCGTCGCGGCGCGAGGCAAAACGCGAACTTCATCTCGATGTAGCCCGTGCGACGCAAGCTCTATTGCGCGCTTTAATCCTCGCCTCGCCTGCATTATCTAACATGGCATCCACAAGATCAGTAATTGTACTAACTCACCCCCCTCCTGTGTGTGCAGCTCAGGTTCAACAGAGGCTGGTCCCTCCAACTGCAGAATAGTATTCCCTTCAGATAAATTTACNTTTCAGTAATTGTTTCCCCTGTCAAAACATCCTCCTCGTTACCCGTACCCTCATCGAGTTGTACTAACTCACCCCCCTCTTGTGTGTGCAGCTCAGGTTCAACAGAGGCTGGTCCCTCCAACTGCAGAATAGTATTCCCTTCAGATTCTAAATTTACCTCAGGTACTTCAATAGTGGTTGTTGGTAATATCAATTTGCTGGTTGAATAGAACAAGGTGTTGTGTCACATTCTCCTGTTGCAATTTCATTAGAATTTAGCATAGTAGTCGATTCAGGTACCAACGACATGGACATTGAAGATTCATACAACCGATCCCAACTTTCTAGGAATTGAAGCATAATTGTTGTTATTGTAGTCGATTGATCAGGTACCAATTGCACCTGATTGTTCCCCATACCATAACCCCTGCAACCAGTTAGTAATTCAAGAAAACTTGTAGCCTTGACTTCAGATTCCAGAAATGCAATATTATGCTCCTCATTAACAGCAAAAGAACAACCTTCTTCTTCTTGATCTTGTGTCTGGATCTTCTCAAATAGTGTGTCACAACCCATATTTTCATCCAATCTAACCATTATTTCAGGCACATTAAATTCTTGCATCGCGTTCTCAAAGTCAGCGATCATAGATTCTTGAATTTGAGAAAAAGTAGTTAGCCCCAACGACGAACCATTCTCTACACCAGTAGCCTCGTGACTTTGCACCTTAGATTCCTCCATTGGTTCTTCAACATAGTAGATAAGAGTGATCATCTCAGTATATTCTTGATCCATCAAAGTCTTAACCGAATTTATCCCAACAGTTTCCACCATTAATGGTTCAACAGATTCTACTATTGCTTTCTCAACAAAATAGTCTTGATCCATCAATGGCTGATCAACATAATTATTTATATCAGAAGTCACCTCAGTATCCACCTTCTCTAGTTCAGAACATGACTCCATTGTAGTTGTCACATCTCGGACTGGCCTGTGGGACCCACGTCTCGGAATCCGGCGAAAGTTATGAAATATGAACGCTCTTTCAACTACGAGTCTAACCATACTATTTTTACAAAAATCCGGCATCAACTTGACCTCCAAATCTCAAATTCTCATTTTGAAATCCCTAGGCCCAAATCTTCTAATTTCACCTCAAAAACATGTAATCTATTCGAAATATTCAATGATAATCCAATATAATTAACTAACAATGATCACATGGGACTTACCTCAAGTTTCCCCGTGAATTCTTTCTGAAAAATTGCCCAAAACCGTGTTGAAAATGTCCAAATGACAAAAATATCGGAACCACTCTGTTTTTGTAATCTGGTCAGTGCTTTCGCACCTGCGGACAAAATTCTCGCACCTGCGGTCCCGCATCTGTGGTGAAATACCGCATCTGCGGAAATTGCTCAGCCCAGCTGCCTTCGCTTCTGCGAGCTTTAGACCGTACCTGCGCCTTCGCAGGTGCGAAAATTTCATCGCACCTGCGTACCTGCCCGCATCTGCAGCTCCAACTGGGCAGCCCTTCGTCCGCTTCTGCGAGCCACATCTCGCTTCTGCGAGTCCGCACCTGCGGTCAGTCCCACCGCAGGTGCGATAACACCAGAAGCTACAAATTTCAGAATTTGCCTAAGTCCAAAAATTGATCCGATTTCGATCCGGATCGCACTCGGGGTACTCGGGACCCCGTCCGAAAATACCAACTCCTAAAACATCATACGAACTTAGTCGAGCCTTCAAATCACATCCAACAACACTAAAACACGAATCACACATAGATTCAAGCCTAATGAACTTTGAAATTTTTAATTTCTACAAAATGACTCCGGAACCTATCAAATCACGTCCGATTTACCTAGAATTTTGCGCACAAGTCATAAATGACATAACGGAGGTACTCAAATTTTCAGAATCGGATTTTGACCCCGATATCAAAATGTCAATCCCTCGGTCAAACTTCCTAAAAATTCAACTTTCGGCATTTCAAGCCTAATTCCACTACGGACTTCCAAATAAAATTCCGATCACGCTCCTAAGTCCTAAATCACCATACGGAGCTGTTGGAATCATCAAAATTCTATTCCGGGGTCGTTTTCTCATAATTCGACATCCGGTCACTATTTGAACTTAAACTTTTAATTTTTCATCAAAATT